ATTGTGCTCTGCACCTATAGAGTAACAGCTTTTGATTGAAAACAAAATTTGTATTACGTAATGTCCGCAATTTATTGGTTCCATTTAGTCATTGTATTGTTGTTGTTTTTTTCTGGGTGATCGTTCTTTACGTTCAATTCTGAACCCCTCCCAAACCACATAAAACGCCCATTAGTTATCATTAATCTTGGCCTTCTATTTTTGGCTTGTATGAACGGCGGTCCGCCCACCGCGCCACATCGGCCGCCGGCGACCCCTATAAAAGCCGTTACAGTGCGCTCACTCATTAGCACGACTGTTGGTCGAACCCCCCGTTCTGTCTCGTTGCCGACGTACTCAAGCAATTTTCTGCTAGTGCTATCATCCATCGTCCGTGGACGTCATGAAGCCAAGAACCCGTAGCGCATCTCTATTTATTGACGGAAAACCGACGATCACTGTGGATCCGTGTCATCGATGTGGCAGCGCAATTTCACCTCGAAAGTGAGCATTTTACTCTTTCAACGCTAAATTTTGGTGCAATTCGGCTTGGGGGGGGGAGGGGAGGATCATTTTGCACTTTCGCTACTTCCCATTGACGGGTTCATTGCTTCACAAGACTTAACACGTAACCTTTACAAGAGTTGACAAATGGTATCCAAACTCTCGCTAGTATCAATTCGTGGCTTCACAAGATTCTCCAGGTTTCCACATGGGTCCACTTGATGGGTCGAGGGGGAAGTAGCAAAGGTGCAAAATGTCTCCCCCCATCCGAATTATATTACTCTTTCAAACTGTATTTTCATCACTTTCTCTAGCTTTAGCTCGCTAATCATTCACATTCGAACTGATCTTTGCTTGAAACAGCTGTTTGTCCAGACAATTTCCTTGGCAAATGCAAAATTTTCAAAACAGTGGCGTGTGACCCCCGCGTGATTTCTGCACTTTCGCTCACAAGTCACGAAATGACCATTGAGCGTAAACGCCCATTAAATTCCACCAGTTTCATCCCGGGACTCGAAAACCACATTTTTCAGTCTTTCTTTTATTTTTTTCATGCTTCAAAATTTACGCTTCGACCTCTGGATTCACTCTCGCCCACGCCAATCTAGCGTCTTATCCCCCCAGGGATGGTAAAATGGTACTAGGTTTGTTGGATAAGAAACACTTTCTTATACTTTGGTCAACGGGATTCATTGTATAGGCCACATCTCATTCAATAAGCCATAACGATTCCGGATGAATACAGGCGTGGGCATCCCCAAAAAGCGAATCGAACGGCGAAAGCTTATGTTATTGAGGCGGTTTTTTCATTGGCCGAATGTAAAGAATAGAATTGTAAATATTGTGGCTGCTCATCCTTTATTTATCTTGTTTGAGTGTTTACTTAGAACGCAGATTCGACTTGTGGGGGAGCACACACAGTTCTGGACAACCGCCTGGCCTTCCTTCACAGTCGACCGTATAGCTCCAGACGAACAATCTGCTTTGAAACCATTTTCCGTTCCGTATTTTCGTTTTGTCCTGAGTACGCATCGGGGTTCTCACTAATGCAGAAGGCTGGCGATTATCCTGGCGTTTTTCGCGAGTTTTGGTATGTATGTATCACATATGGCCACATTCATTTCGCGTTCCCGAGTCCTTTTTCCCGTAGTGTTCATTGCCCAGTTGCAAACTCCCAAATTAGATTAGCCATCTCTCCAGGGATTGCATGCACTTAATGGAATTGCGCTGTAATTTCCACTTTCTGCATGTGACAGTCGGAAAGATTGATTGGACTTGCAAACGACAATTTCCTATCCAAAGAAGGCCGTTTGCGAGGGCAGAATGTGGAAAAGCGCTCTGATTTTCCTTCTGAAAAAGAGATTTCCACTGACGACCAACCTAATCGTAAACTTAGTAGAACGTAGATGCGATGTATGGAGTTGATTGATCTCATAACCGGCTTCGTTTCCTACGAATAGTGATCGGTCCAGGAAAAAAAACGACCAAGAAAACAACAAGGGTGGGCTCATTCTAGGCCTCCTGACACCGCAGCGTGATACTTATTGCATTACGCGGTATCAGCCAAAATATGGTGACGTTTTTTCCTCACAGACGACCCTGGTACCAATTAACCGGTTCCAGAGGATGGAAAGCCTTGTTACCTCAGCGGGGAAACAACGATGAAGTACTTTACTTCTAAATGTGTAAGTAGCGCCATCTGGCACTCCAGCCTTAACTGGAGGAGCTCTAACCGAGCGATCCAGGAGGCGCTTGCAGGGATAGGGAAGGTGCTGGTGGAAGAGCGCTCTGCTGATCTTAATGGTGGAAAAGATTGCAGGCAAGGAGGTTGCCACCCCGTCTGCTACCGTAGAAGCCACCTTCCCTCTCCAGTCCTCTCCCCTCTTGTTTCAGACCGAAAAAGTGTAAACAATCAAGATGAAAGTTACAGCGGCCATATCAACAGTGCTTCGAGGTCGCTACCCCCTCCCCCCTCGCCCGCTTCCTGCATAGCCTAGACTCTTGAAGTGGCCACTTTTCTAACATAGCTTAGTCCACTATTGACTATTTTTCTCAGTAACAGGAGGTCTATGGGGCTCATGAGGAGGATGAATTCGGATTTTATGTCGAAAGGGGTTAAACTTGAGACGGGGATGGAAGAGATCCCGGTGGAAGGCCAATTTCCTCACCATACTAGAATTCTCTCCCCCTAATAGTCTCGTATTTGAATTGGGCGCAGTTTGAACCGCTGGGGGCAATGGTAATCAGCTAAGCTTGTATAAGCCACCTTGCACAGACCAGTAGATTCCTGCAACGAAAATGGCCCACTCGCTATTTCGTAGCTTCACAAGAGTTTCCTAATCTCACCTTTTCGTTGATAACAAACAAAAGGAGCTAGCAGAAGTGCAATATGCCCCCTCCGAGCCGTGAGCGCCTTTAATTGTTTCGTAGTTGTTGACAAGACCAACAGGAACACAACGTATGTTGTTTGAGCGTGACCAGGAAGTTTTTACATCAAGTTTCTCCACACATACATTTGCCTGATTGATCACCGACAGTTGGTAACGAATCGCCCAATTCGCGCTATCTATCGGCACTTGAACCTGCACGTGATTGTCAGCCCCATATGCATCCACTTATTTTAGGCTCCAGGATAATGGGTTAAAGGCGAGGTCATGGGGTACTCCAAATATGATCTGGGAGCAGTCCACCCATAGGTATTAAAGTTTTCTCGCTACTTTGTCGAGAGAACAGGGTCCTTATTCACGCTCCATAACCTGCAGACGTGGTGGGCGTGGCTCGGTACTTCGTCCAAACATGGCCAAGGATGCGTTTTTTTGCGAGATATTGCATTCTAATACAATAGCCATCCCGTTTTCTGCTGCACAAAGACTAGCCCAAAACTTCAATTTCCAAATGGCATAAGCCATGTTCTTGTCACGTTAAAAAGGGGTATGTGGCCACGCCCACCACATCTCAAGGATATCGGGGTGTAGCAGGCTCACTGAAAGCGACCAGTATGAATCACGTGAAAATCACGTGAATATCAGCGAAAGCTAAAACGAAGCTGTACTTCTTTTCGCACACTTATCTACCTAAAATTGCAGTGAAGATTAAGACTTCACGTGAAAGTCACATGCCAAACTACCCTTCTCTTTTTCTTCCTGCAGACAATCAAAAAATTCTACTTCACTGATAAGAAGGTCGTTAGTATCTTCTGAAGAATTTCATAACCGCTATTTACAGCTCCATATCAATCTCTCTGCAAAAACTGTCGTCAATGAATCGTTCACTGGCTGCAAGCCCACGTAATGGCTATCTGGACTCTATCGCTGATTCTGCAGGATTTCCAGGCACCTCCTCACTCGAGTTGGAGGCAATTGGTAGGTTCCCTACATGATTCGGGCTTGAATTCTCCAATAAAAATAAATTCATTCCAGCTGCTGTCCATGAACTTTCGTATGCAGTACAGTCGATGAGTGTTTCGGAAATATTACCACGAACACCGGATTTGATATTCGTCAATGTCACCACTGCAGAAGGTTTGTATTACTCTTCACTCACTTATCTGGTTCTGCTCGGCTTGGGAGGGGCATTTTGCACTTCATCTGAGTCCATGTGCTAGTTAATCTTAATTTAACAGGCTACACTC